TTTTATACTAATTTTTAACCAGAGTTTAGACTATTAAAAACAATTATAACATTATACAGTTTATAGAGTCAAGGCCAAAATACAGAGATATAGGACTTCTGGGAAAAGAAGTTAAAACACGCACAACAGTATAAGGTACTACCTTTACTTTACTTGTATTTAGAATTATTACATTTTAGTTTCTAATCTCTGCATGTAAGACACCATAATAGCTGTTTATTATTTCTTTAGAATGCACAACTTAGATACATTTTTAATTAAAAAAAATTTTTTTTTTAGTTGAGATGACATTAAACTTTAGTCTTTTTACAATAAGGAACAAAATGTAAACCTGAAAGTTTAGTAAATGGTTAGCAAATTTTTATTATTAAACTTAGTAAAACCTTAGTTTAGTTTTAGTTTTTCCTTAGAACTGGAATTTTAAGTCAACTTCAGAGTTGCCACTGTAACAATTTTATATACCAAGTCTTTTTCCTTAGGCAAGCACTAGATATGTTACAGGGCAGGGAGAGGGGCAGCCCAGACCCCCAAACCTGCCTGTTCTAAATAGGTTCTGCCATCAGCTGCATCAACACAAAACATACAAGACTTTAATGGAAGGAACTTTAATACAATTAGGAGACAATACAGGAAAGGCAAATAATTTAGTTTCTAAATTAAGCACCCAAAGTGGGTAAAACTCTGTACCCTCGTGGGTAAAACTCCGTCCAAATGGGATTCGCCCAAGCCAGGCCCCAAAGCCTGCCACAAGTTTAAGGCCTCTTCCAGTGAGGACCCACAGGAAAGGGTTAGAAACAACCAGACAAGCTCGGAAGGAAAAGAGCAAAATTAAAATCAAGATAAAAGTTGCCATTGTCTCCTCCCCACGGGTCTCACCCACATCTGTGTTACCTAGTCCACAACCAAAAGGCAAGCGCAGTTTTTTCATGTGTCTCTAGGCTCCATGGGCCTCCTCCAGGTCTCCTTCTGGATTTTTTTTTTTTTTTTTAATTCTGCTTTTTTTTTTCCCTTTCTTGGGCAGGGAACCTGGAATTTCCCCCTTTCCTGGGGACCACCCTGTTACAGATAGATTGACAAAAGCAAGAAAGAAAAGGAAAAAAAAAAATAGACACCTAATACTATATACATTTTTTTTAGTAACTTGTCCATATGGCTTTAGATGTTACCTTGAATTTTGCAAAGAAGTTTAGTCCTTTACTGGGAGAATATATTGTTTTTTTCCAAGGGGAAAAGACAAGTAGATCAGTCTTCCTGGAACAAGATCTTATCAAGAGAAGTTTAGATAAAAGCCTAGAAGTAAGTTTGTTTGTTAGCATAGGCCAGGTTAATTATTATTTTTTTCGTACAGCACAAGTAAACATATTTAAACAAAGCAAAGCACCAATTTTTTTTTTTAACACTTAAACCTTAAGGCATGTATGCTTTAAACCATTAAATTTTGAATTAGCTTTTGTTTACTACAATTTTAGATCGCAATTTTAAAATTTAGGATTTTTTTTTTTTTTTTATAGGCGCCATTTACAATTAATTCTCCGGAGGCAAAAATTAAGAACAAAGAGATTTCTTAATTTTTATTTGAATTTTTTTTTTTTTTTTTTGCCACATGCACTAATTTTAAGAAACAGTTATTTTTACCAATATTTGCAAAAACACTGAGAAACTACAATTTAGTAAACTTTAGTTTTTTTTTTTTTTTTTTTTAAGGTGGACAAAGGGACAGACTAATTTTTCCACAGCTGGAAGGCAGCAGAGATATACCAGTGATCTCAACACTGGAGAAAATGTCCAGGCAGCTGCTTGTTGAGATCAGAGGCAGCGTTTCTTACCAGCCAGCTGTGGTGACTTTTTAGTCCCCAGTATTTTACTTTTTGCCTTGACTGTGTCCAAAGACAGTGGAGTAGGCATTGCCTGACCCATGGTTACGAACACACAAACGCAACAAAGACAACAAACACCAGGAATAAAACAAAATTAGTTTTTTGTTTTTTTTTTTTGAACTTTCCCCAAAAGGGGGACCTGCCCCAGTGCTGCCCCACAAGGGGTACGGATAACCAATTAGAGGTCCCTGGGTAGAGACAAACACCAAAGTTTTAAGAATAACAAACACACTAAACGAACCAAAAAACAAATTTTTCAAACGGGCCCCATACAAATGCTACCCCAGTGCTGCCCCACAGGGGATAGCCATTCAGGTGGTCCGGGGACGTCTCCCCTGGTCCACGCCAAGACACCTACCAGCGCATCCACTTAAGTGTCTGGCTACCAAAATTACAGGTTTGCAAACAATTCCACAGGTACTGAGTACAAAAAATACAAATACAGGTACTCAGTACTTTTACAGGTTTGCAAACAATTCTACAGGTACTGAGTACAAAAAATACAAATACAGGTACTCAGTACTTTTACAGGTTTGCAAACAATTTTACAGGTACTAAGCACAAAAAATACAAATACAGGTACTCAATACTACAGGTCTGCAGACTCAAACTTCACCACTCACCTGTGCGCTTTAATGGCTCCCTTCAGCCGTTTGGTGGTTGGGGTCTGTGCTAGCCGATCCCGGACGAGCCCCCAAATGTTGTGCCCAAGATCAGCAGACTCGGCGAGCATAGCCTCCAAGAATCCAAGGACAGCTGATGCAAACGCAAAAGGGAGTTTATTACGGGCTCGAGACCGGGCCCTCGACACGCACCGATGCAACGGCAGAGGTCGAGAGCCCCGAATAGAGGAAGCAGGGGTATCTTATTGGGTCGCGAGTGACGCGAACTTTGCAAGAAGCTGGCAATTACTCATTGGCTACTACAAAGGCATTTTGGCGCGTGCGGTTAGTTTCAAACTGATTGGACAGTTAGAGATGCTGTCCCATTTATGGATAGGACTGCCCTTATTGGTGGCTGGGGTGGTCTGCTTTTTCGTCACCAAGTGGAGTGAGGGTTGTGACTGCTGAAACTATCTCCGGAATGCGGCTGGACAAGGACTAACATAGCAAGGTGGAGGATATACAAAATGGCGAAACCTCGGCTAAGCTTGGTTCCACACTTACTGAGAAACACTTTTTGAAATTAGTTAACTCCTCATGTCCTATTTCCATGTTTAGCAAACAATTCTGATCATTTGACTTCATTTAGAGAGTGTATAATTTAGAGAGGAAAATGCTGGTCAGCCTGAGTTGACCTCAGTTTCACTTCAGTAGTTTTCTTCTTGTGAATTAATATTGACAATATGATAGCATTGCTGGAGCATTGCTTCTGTGTGCTTGGTTAAAGGGAGTCTGCCTCAGAACATAGAATCTTCTCCCAGTGTGTACAGAGATGTAGTTTCTGAAAGCAAATGACTAGGGTTCAATTCTTGACTTGTATTTACCTATGTAACTTTGGGCAACATTACCTAGCAACCTACCATGCAATCCTTTATGCCTGTTTTCCTTATTTGTAACATAGAAAATAGTACCTTCCTATGAAAGCAGTTGTAATAATAAAATGAGATAATGTACAGTGCCTGGTACAAAACAACCTCTTAATAGATGTTAGCTTTTAAGATAAAGATCGTTAGATCTCAGGCCAGGATGAAACCATGCCCTGTAGTGACTAATCAAGCTAAATGCTACCTAGTTAATAAATAAGTCTAGCTTCCGTACCTACTGCTTGTCTATGGGTCATCTTGACATTTGAAACAAATTACTAATGCATAGTCGCAGCTATTTACATGTATTAACTTATTCAACACTTTCTTCAAACCTAAGAGGTAGGTACTACTTTTTTTTTAAAGATTTATTTATGCATACAAGAACTGGGGTACAGGCCAGAGGTGTGTGGGGGGGTGAGTGAGTCACCAGAGACAGAATGGGGAACAGAACAGGCGGAATGACTGAAATACACTGCTGAGGGGAGCAGCACGCGAGACAGGAGAGGTCTGCTGCGCCATGTGGGTATCTCCCTGGCTGGGGATCGAACTCGCGCTGCAGTGGCTGCGGATAGCTTCATAGGTTGTGTCTTAACCTCTTCCACCACCAGGGAGGCCCCATAGGTACTATTATTATACCTATTTTACAGATGTGGAAATGAGGCATAGGGAAAATATTTGCCCAAGCGAGTAAATATTGGCTCCCACCCCAGGAACCAGCTTTTATGACTTGTTAAATAGAATACCTCTCCTCAGTTATATCATTAAATTAATGAAGAGGTATTTTACAGTGAGGGATTCAAATCTCATTTTTCTCTCATCTATAATGTAGTTTTTGCTTTCTTAGTGAACTTTGAATTCATCCATAAATGTATCAAGTAGTTATAAAACATGGTGGGTTGCTTTATTATTTGCAAAAAAAAAAAAAAAAAAAATCAAGCCCAAGGTTGTTCATCAGCTATTTCATCGGAGTGATCACAAAACATGCCTGTAGTTGTACTTTTCCCCATCTTCAAGACTGGCTTACGTGCTCTCATATTTCAAAAAACCAGAAGGTGGAGCAATAAATGAATACTGGCACTTCCTCACGAAGTTATTAATGTGTGTAAAGCCGAATAAGCATGCATTTATGAAGGTCCTGGCAGTTGGTATTGTACCTAGGGAACCTGTTGAGGTAATAAACGAACGTTTCTGTGGCTCGTTCAAGAGTTTTTCAGAAGACGCTTACACCAAACAGTAACTGCAGCGCTGAAATGATAACAGAAGCCTCTACTTTTGCAGCTCTTAACGCCTGCAATCGCGAACGTTTGAGCACAGTACCTACCGCAGCTTCCCTACAACGAACCTGCAGACTCGGAACTCTGTTTCTGAAGCTCTCGGTTCCGGGGGGGTGGGGGCGCCCGAGTCGACGAGCACGTGAGCGTGCGCAGAAGCGCTGCACACCCCCGCCCCCCCGCCCACCGCCCCGGCCGGGCAGGCGCGCTGACCCGCACCGCCTTTCTTCGCCTGACAACGGGAAGCGAATGCGCGTCGGGGCGCGTGCGCAGACGCGGCCGGCTGCCGGGGCGGTGGGTTACGCCTGGAGAGCGCATGGGCAGACAAACTGTACGTCCATTTGTCCGGAGCCGAGGGGAGAGTGGGCGCCATCTTCTTCTAGGCTCGCTGAGGGCCCTGCCTGCGCTGCGGAGGCTGACGCGACGGAGTGGCCCCCGCCCCCGGCCTTGTGTGTCCGACGCGGCAGCAGCGGTGTGTGTTTATTGCCAAGTGCGAAGCAGTTACCCTCGGGGCGCCGGGGCCGGGCGCGGGTGGCGGTGGGGCGGCGGGACAGGGAAAGGCGGGGCCGGCGGCCGCGCCAGGAGTTAGCGTAGCTTCTGCCGTTAGGGCCCCCCTTGCCTTGCCAGGCGCCTCCTCGCTCGCTGTCTCCATGTGCTGCGCTGTGTACGCTTCCCAGTCTTCTTGACAGTGGAGCGCTGCAAGGATTGCATAGGTATTTTTTTTTTTTTCCTTTGCTATGTCATCGTAGCCAGGCGTGGTGGAAGAGCACGGAAGGCCGGGCTCGTTAGCGTTGCGGAGGGCCCGAGTGCTCGGCCGGGTCGGGAGCACCTCGCCCGGGGCGATGTAGGGTGGAATATCTGCCCTTGAGGGACGGCGTAACGGAAGGGCGCGGAGGTTGGGCGGTCCAGGTTAATTTGAAGGCTGCTTTCACTGAAGGTCTGGAGACGGCATCGGATCCCACGTAGCAACTTTGGCCTGGCGCGAAGGAAGGAAGCTCTGAGCCCCGGGAGTATGGACAAAAGCTTTGGGCAATAGAAACGCTATCTTCGGATGCTCCCCGTTTGAGGAGGACGGCTGTTATGGGAAACGCTGTGCCTGTGGATGCGTCTTCATTTGCAGTTCCTGTTGGGGACTACGGCTCTCTGTCGACTAGCCTTTGGTTTTTATTTTAATCATCTACGTTATAAAATGCTAAAAGGCACATCATCATAAAAGATAATTGTGGACCGGGGTAGATTATTTCCTGCAGGATAAACGAATGCGTTTAGGGTCTGTACTTCAGCATAACTTGAGTTTTAGGATATTGTCGCATTTTTCTTAACCTCACTAATTCTGGAAAATGACTTGTTAGTCTCTAGTTAATGATACCTATTTAAATTCATTGGTCTTCCCGTTTTCCGCTTACTCTTGCCTTTGCATAATCTTTACTGAGAATGGTGATCACGTGGGATGAATGGTTGGATAAAATCAAAATTAACGTGAGCTTATCAAGTGCTCAAATAAGCCTGTAAGGACCTACTTCCTTTTATTCGTAGGTTGAAAGACCTAATGGATAACTAAAATCATCAACACAGTCACAAAAATAACTTGCATTCATAAGTAGAAAAAATTTAAGTTCAGAGTACTTTGGGGGTGTTTTGGTGTGTTTCTGTGTAATGTTCTAGAGTGGATTTTCTGCGGAATTTGCTTAAGGAAATAACAGGGAGCTATAGGAAAGGCAATCATTTTGAGAGCTGGTCTGTTGTGTAGATAGTTTTCAAGGTGTGTTGTAGAAGGATAAAAGAGGATAAAAGGTACATTAAGGTACTTAAGGGCAAAGAAAGTTTAAGCATTGGTTATATTTAACTCACAAATAGAACAATTATTTTAAATTAGTCTGCTTGAATTGGAATTAATGAGATTTGTACTCATGTACTGGTGAGAATTGTACTACTTAAACATTGCTTTTAAATGTGGTGGCTAGAGAGGATAACTTATTAGAGAGTCTTAGAATTTGACATAAAATTATTCCTTGACACAGTTCAAGGATACATTTATGTAGATACATTTATGTCCACTGGTCAAATTCCTTCTACATATGTTAAAAAATGTGTAGTAGAGGCAAATGAAGGGTGGCTTACACTGCTTTCTAAAAACACATTAAAAGCCAAAAAGGAGCAAAGCAGTTTGCATAGGAAGAGAGCCCTGGAATTTAAATATGAATAATTATTTCAGAAGGCATTAATAGTTTTTATTACAGTATAGCTGGGGATATTGGTTTGTTGAAGGAACTAGGCTTATACTGAGATTCAAAATTTTTTTTTGGTATTTTTTTTAATAGACATTCTTTTAGAACTTCTTTTTGAACAAAATGTACAAAAGGTAAAGAAATTTCCCTTATACCCCAACTTCCATATATGTATCCTGAAAAAATTTTAGTAGTAAACCTCACTAATATTTTTGTTATAAACATAGCATTAATAATAATGCAGATGTGGAATATGCCAAATAATTTATAGATATTAGTTTGTAGTTTGCTATTTTAGTTTGTAGTTTAAAAATTATAATTTATGAGCCTTTTTCAAAGGAAAATAAATCTCGCTGACCTCAAAAGATTATGTGGAGGAGTGTTATGTCTAAGTACTGAGTTGAAACATTTATTTACACATGAACATAAAACTTATAATTATTAATTTAGCAGATCAATTATATGGTAAGACTACATTAATATTATTTTGGATATCTCTGAAAGTGGTAGATGTAAGTTTCTTAAATATTAAGTTGAGATTTTTCAATAGTTAACACGATCATCACCAAATATTCCAATTTAATATATTTTTTCTTTTCTACATTATCACTTGTGTTTCCTCAGTAGAATATAGACAGTTGTTTGAGATGGATTAAAGTTAGTGACATTAAACTTTTGTATTTGAACATTTTTTGTTTGGCTTGAGATAGTTTAATAGTAATTTTTAGGAGTTTATGATAAAATCATGAGTAGTAGTAGCTGAGATTTTTGAATTTTGGGTTATTTTGGTGTTTATTTGCCTTACCTATAATGGATTCAGCAAATTTTGGTTTGATGTGTGGAAGTGTGAGCTGTATAGATAGAACATAAAGTTATATCCAAATGATAGCGATGGCTTGGATTTATTTTTTTTTTAAATAGAAGCATGTTTATTTATTTATTTATTTGTTTGTTTGTTTGTTTGTTTATACATGCACTGGGTACAGTCAGAAGCGCAGGAGGGTGAGAGAACTCACCAGAGCCAGAGCGGGGAGCAGAGCAGGCAGAAGGACCGACACTGCTGAGGGGAGCAGCGGGCGGCAGGAGAGGTCTGCGCGCCATGTGGGACCCTCCTCCGGTGGCGAGCTGCCGGGGATCGAACCGGCGCTGCAGAGGCTGCGGGCAGCTTCGCAACCCAGCGCTCAACCGCTGTGCCACCGGGGAGGCCCGATGGCTTGGATTTACTACTTTAAAAATTGGTTTTTGAATTTGAAGCATTAGAGTTTTGTTTAATTGTAGCATTTCAGTGGTTGCCTTACTTTGATTTTGTCCTGTGCTTGAATAGGAAAGGAGACTGGCAAGTGAGTTATTGCAGGATAAACAAATGCATAAAAGATGTTTAGTCTTTTCACTGGTGGAAGTGATAGGATTTTGGCAATTTTTGATGCTTTCAAATTATGATTTTACTTTTAAAAGATTTTTAAAGTAGATATAACATTTGCATATAGTGGAATACATAGACCTTAAGGATAGAATTCATTCAGCCTTGATAAAATTTATACACTTATGTAACCTCTCCTCCAGTCAAAATATTTAACATTTCCATCACCCCTTTCCTCATAACACTTCCAATCAAGGAATTACAATTTTAGGTAGGTTTTTTCCTTTTTAAAAACAATTTGCAGATGTCTGCTTGGAATATGTGCCTCTTTCTTGCTGAAGGTTGATTAATTTCCCTTGGAACAAAGAAGACTATTTGTAATGCCCATAGTTGTGATTTCTTTCTTATCTTGCCTCACTTTTAATAGGTAATTCTGAAGTGAATATCATAATCTGGCGTTGTTTAAGCTCAATTACAGAGTCCAAGGATTAATTATATTTCATTTTCTTTCCACAGTTAAGTTGCTTTTACAGAATTAACAGGTCTCCAAGAAATTAAAAAAAAAAAAGGTAAGATATCCAGAGCTTAAGGCTTTTCACAGAGACTTGAAAAAAAAAATGTAAAGTAGAATAGTGCATCTAGGTACACATGGATTCTGAACTCTTATGTCTGGTCAGTGATTCATTAGTGGGAGGCAGTTTATTTTGAGCAGAAATTATATACTGACCGTAGATGGCTTTTCTGAATTTGTAAAATTTATTGTGGTTGGTAAAATTCTTTAATACACAAAGCTTTCTTTAAGTTTCAATAGAAGATATGTTTCTAAGTGAGTCTGAAAATAGTTTGGTCTTGTTGTGAAGCAGCACTTGGCAGACTTATAAAGATTTGCTATTTTCGATGCTCATACTGTACGGAATAGGTGATATGAAATGTTTCTTCAAAGTAGTTGGTTTATTTGTATATTTAGAATGGGAATTTTTTTAAAAAGAATTTTTAAGTCAGTTATTTGTGAGCTTATATCTTGCTTTCATTTATAAAAGCTGAAGGTAGGAATCAAGTAATTTAAGCTAAGTTTGGGATAAGGTACTTCAAAAATAAGACTTGCTATTATGTGTACCTTTTTGTCTACAGGTCATTATTGCTGTGGTTTGAGCTCAGCATGGCTGTAGTCATCCGTTTACTGGGGCTTCCTTTTATTGCGGGGCCTGTGGATATTCGCCACTTCTTCACGGGATTGACTATTCCTGATGGAGGAGTGCATATAATTGGAGGGGAAAGAGGGGAGGCTTTTATTATTTTTGCAACAGATGAAGATGCAAGACGTGCCATAAGTCGTTCAGGAAGGTTTATCAAGGATTCATCTATAGAACTCTTTCTTAGTAGTAAGGCAGAAATGCAGAAGACTATAGAAATGAAAAGAACTGATCGCATAGGAAGAAAGCGACCAGGATCTGGGGCATCAGGGGCTGGCAGCTTATCTAATTTTGTTGAGGATATTAAGAAAGAAACAAGTAATTCTGGATATGACTCTTCAGTTAATCAAGATGATGGGTTTCATACCAATGGTACAGGACATGGTGATTTAAGGCCAAGAAAGACACGGCCATTGAAGGCTGAGAATCCTTATTTGTTCCTACGAGGTTTGCCTTACTTAGTAAATGAAGATGATGTACGTGTCTTTTTCTCTGGTTTGTGTGTGGATGGAGTAATTTTCTTAAAACATCATGATGGCCGAAATAATGGTGATGCCATAGTAAAATTTGCTTCGTGTATTGATGCTTCAGGAGGTCTTAAATGTCATAGAAGTTTTATGGGTTCAAGATTCATAGAAGTAATGCAAGGCTCAGAACAACAGTGGATTGAGTTTGGTGGTAATGCAATTAAGGAGGGTGACATTCCTATGAGAAGTGAAGACCATTCTCCACCAAGAGGCGTTAATGATAGGCATTTTGGAAAACAGTCATGTTCAAAATCTCCCAGAAGAACACGTTCTCGTTCTCCTTTTGGATTTTATGTTCACTTAAAAAATCTGTCCCTAGGTATTAACAAAAGAGATTTAAAAAATTTCTTTAGAGATACTGATCTGTCCAGTGAACAGATTAAGTTTTTATATAAAGATGAAAGAAGAACAAGATATGCCTTTGTGATGTTCAAGACGCAAAAAGACTATAACACAGCTCTGGGTTTACATAAGACTGTTTTACAGTATCGCCCAGTTCATATTGATCCAGTTTCTAGAAAACAAGTGCTGAAGCTCATTGCATGTTATGAAAAGAAAAGACCACCATCAATAGGGAAAGAGAGGCTTGGACATGTTTCTCAAAAATATTCTCAAGAAGGCCACTCTGGCCAGAAGCTGTGCATCTATATAAGAAATTTCCCATTCGATGTTACAAAAATTGAAGTGCAGAAGTTCTTTGCAGACTTTTCGCTTGCTGAGGATGACATTTACCTGCTTTATGATGACAAAGGAGTTGGTCTGGGTGAAGCACTGGTGAAATTCAGGACAGAAGAACAGGCCATGAAAGCTGAACGGTTAAACCGACGAAGATTCTTGGGGACAGAGGTATTACTGAGACTTATATCTGAGGCACAAATGCAGGAGTTTGGTGTAAATTTTCCATTGATGTCCAGTGAGAGGATGCAGGGTCATTCGCAGTCATGTGATAGAGAGGACCATTTTCATTCATTTGACTCAAATGATCCACCAGTACACCCAGTTGGCCTTTCTGAAAACTTGAGGCATCAGCAAGAGGACTTGAGACACCTGGATAATTTCAAGCACCCTCAGTCAGACAGGCGCCCTCCAGAAGACTTTAGACATTCCCCAGAGGACTTTAGGTGCCCCTGGGAGGAGGACTTCAGGCGCCCTCGGGAGGAGGACTTCAGGCGCCCTCGAGAGGAGGACTTCAGGCACTCTTGGGAAGAGGACTTCAGGTACTCACCGGAGGAGGACTTCAGGTACTCACCGGAGGAGGACTTCAGGCACCCTCGGGAGGAGGGCTGGAGGCGACCACCTGAGGAGGATTTCAGACGGCCTTCCAAGGAGGACTTCAGGCGACACCTGGAGGATTGGAGGCGGCCTGCCGAGGGAGACTTTAGGCGGCTACCTGAGGAAGATTGGAGGCGGCCTTTTGAGGAGGACTTCCGGCGTCTTCCGCAGGGGGAATGGAGGAGACCACCTGAGGAAGACTTCAGGCGGCCCCCTGAGGAAGACTTAAGGCGTTCCCCCGGGGAGGACTTCAGGCGGCCGGCCCAGGAACACTTCAGGCGCCCACCCCCAGAACACTTCAGGAGGCCGCCCCGGAGCACTTCCGGCGACCTCCCCAAGAGCACTTCCGGCGGCCATTCCCAGAGCATTTTAGGCGACCTCCTCAGGAGCATTTCAGGAGGCCACCACAGGAACATTTCAGGCGACCCCGAGAGGAAGATTTCAGGCACCCACCAGATGAAGATTTCAGGGGTCCTCCTGATGAAGATTTTAGGCACCCTCCTGATGAGGACTTCAGGAGCCCCCAGGAGGAAGATTTTAGATGCCACTCTGATGAGGACTTCAGGAGGCTCCCTGAGGAAGACCTCAGGGAAACTTCAGAGGAAGACCCTAGACTTCCTGACAGTCTTAGACCCCCTGGAGAGTTTCGGAGCCCACCTGATGATTTTAGAAGTCATCGACCCGTTGTGAATTTTGGTCACCCAGAAGGTGGCAAGTTTGATTTTGGAAAGCGTAATATGGGAAGTTTTCCTGAGGGGAGATTTATGCCTGATCCAAAATTAAATAGTTCAAGTAGAGTAACTCCTATTAAGATAATGAATCTTCCATTTAAAGCTAATGTTAATGAAATTCTAGACTTTTTCCATGGTTATAGAATCATACCTGATTCTATTTCAATACAGTATAATGACCAAGGATTACCTACAGGGGAAGCCATTGTTGCTATGATAAACTATAATGAAGCTATGGCTGCTATTAAAGATCTAAATGATAGGCCAGTTGGCCCTCGCAAAGTTAAGTTAATTTTGCTCTAGAGAGCATTTCTAAGTTCAAAATTAACCTCCTCACACAGTATTGATGCAGTAAAATGCATTTGTTATTAAAAGGTGTTTTTTTTTAATTAAATGAAGAAACGATTTTATTTTGATCTGTGAGTAGAACAAATGTAAATATTATGTGAATCTGTTTTCTTTTGCCTGCAAATTGCCGTTCACCTTTTCTAATTTAAAATTATATATATATTTTTCCCTGCGGGTGGGGGAGAGAATTCCCTGAGTTCATTATTTTTGTTGATGCCTCAAGACTTGTGTAAAGTAGAGTTGTATTTGGGGAGGATGAATTTTATATTTGCTTTTGTTTCCATTTGTCGTTTACATCTTTTACTCAAACTATATAAGGAAAATGGTCAGTGACTATTGTTCAGGTTTAGCATTTTTATTGATATTGGCTGCAAATTAATGCCCTCTTCCTTGTCTTGAAATATTACTGTGTTAAGCCTCCTGTTAACTATATATAGTTCAAAATGGACAGACTGTGAACTTAAAAGTTTACGTATGTAAAAAGCTGAGGAGATTCTTAAAGTTTCCATGTTCATAACTTTGCGAAGTTTTATAAAAATAAAAAAGATTGCAACTGAATAGACCAACTAAGTAACTGTACTTGTATTTATATAAAAAGAAAAAAGAATTGCAGCTTCTTTTATGAAGATTTTCAACAACTACATAAAAACAATATTTATGATAGATGGGACCAAATATCCTATAATAATAGTGTAGAGTGTTGTATATACTTCCATGGTTTCCTCAACATCTCATCAACCAAATTTGTAAGATTAACTTAAACTACTTAAGTCAAAGATAAGGATGTAATTATAGGTACGAGGACACTTAAAGGCTTGTGCTGGGAAGAATGTGACAGATGGATATAGTTTATATAGCTAGGAATGATTCACTGATAATTCATATAACGTATATTTTTAATTAGAACAATTTTTAAAATTTGAAACTTTGTACCCATTTAGTTTTTTTTTAAACCCAGTAACTAAATATGATGCTTATGTTGTTGAATTTTGACTTCTTTGCTTCAACATTTAATGTAGACATTTTGTAAATACTGGATTTAATTTTCTGTATCCCTAATGATAATATGGTTAACATTTACTGGGCACTTAACTACATGCCAGAACAGTAATGAGCACTTTACATGCATAATCTCAATCTTGATTCCCCAGGCAGGATAGAGTATTCTTTACCTTTGTTTCACAAATGAGATAATGAAGTTTACATTGGTTAAGTGATTTGCATAAAGACATTGTTTAGTAAATTAGACTAAACAATGGTTTAGACCATTGACTTCATGTTCCTGATTTTGTTTAAAGTGTCACATTAATTTTAGTAAGAACCATGCTAAAAATATTTTTAAGAATGATACCTTCTTACCTCCACTGTTTTAAAAGTAGCATTAAAAAAGATAAATTTACCATGCTGTAGCATTGTTAGTGAAAGACAAAGTAACTTTAAAAGTTTTTATATATCCAGGTTTCTCTTGCATACTAACATTTTGTGTGTGTGTGTATACATAGATATATACTTCTAGTTGAAAATTGTTTATTAAACATGATTTGACTGGTATTTATAGTTTACTTAAAACACAGTTAATTTTTCTCAATGCTGTTATCCAGAAATTTCCCAAAATGAACATATAGGCATAAAATTTGAATTTATATATGGTAGTTTAGTCATTTGATAATAGGATTTTTTCAGAAGTAGGATACTTTGTCAGTACTTAGTCAGTTAGTACTATAAATATTTTGGATTGTTTTCAGTGATTTAAAGAAGCCTAGGAGAAGTCAACCAAAGTTTCTGTGTTTTAATAACATATACTGCTTCCTAGTATAATGAATAAGCTGGTAAATTTGGTTCAAAAAGGCACTTTAATAAGCTTACAAATAACTGGGGAAATGATTAAATGTTTCAAACCAGCAAAATGAACAAATAGGAGTAAATATTCTAAATGCCTAATGATTATATAGATGGTTCATTTGATCAGCCCCTTTAAGGGATATATAGAAGACTTAATGAATTCTTTTCAAATATCAAGCTGATACATATGCTCAAACTAAGCTGGTGTGGGATGATGGTAGAAAAGACCAACAATAGTAAAACACTGGCTTTGTATTTTGGTTTCAAAATGGATGGGTTGACAGGAATATTTTCGTAATCTGTTTAAGATACTTCTTAATTAACTTTTTAAAATCGCTTATATAGGAAGTAGGGTTCTGCTGATGGGAGCCTTTTTTCACATCTTCCAACTTTGTCTTCAGTATAATGTTGATAACTAAAATTGGCCATGGTAGGAGTATTTTACACCACGTAAATTGGCAACTGCAGTGCATTGGGGCATTTTCCACCCGAGAGAACCAGTTTGCCAGCACACTGTCAATTTCAAATACGTAAGAGAATATTGTATTAGATGCTTATATACCCAGCTTTAATAATTATCATTTCATAGCTAGTTTGGCTTCCTACTCCCAGATATATTAGGTATACCAGGGGTATATTGGGTATCTTAATTCCCAGTGGCATTTTAATTATCTTAGAGACAAACTTTTTATCTAGAAGTTACCTGAAGCATAGCATAGATCATGCTTAAAAAATAATTCTATAACCAAGAGATAGGTAAGACTCATTGTATTAGGAGTGCTCTTTTATCCCTTACTGAGAAGGTTGTTAAGAACAATGGCTTTTTTCCCATCTATGCCTATAAAGCAGTGACCCCATCTTTGTATTAAACGTAAGCTGTCATTGAGCTGCATTACATGGTTTATATTTGTGGTCCGTAATTACATATGAATTGACTCACTTTTTTCTCAATAATCCTAAGTATTTTAGAGATTAGAAATGGAGATGTATAGGCTAAATGACAGGTCAGATTGGTTGCTTTTTTACAAGGAAACTAAGTTTTTACATTTTTAATTGTTTACATCTTAAATGGTTATGTAAGTACCCATGTTTAGCCTTGATTTTTTTTTCCTCTGGACTTAACAGTGAAAAAAAATGTGGCTTTTTAAGAAAGTTTGGCAGCCTACATCTGGTCTACAAGAAACTTATGTTTACATTGTTAAAAGTATTATCATGGATAGTATTCTTTTTGTGTTTAGAATATTTCTCTGAGGTTGGCAGAGCATATATTTTATGTCAGAATTATTTGCTGTTTGCTTTACATCTCAGGCACTGTTTTAACTTTACAAATCGGGCAACAGGTGCTCAAAAGGAGTGAATTGCTATAAACAGCAAAAGAAACACCAATATCAAATTTAAATATTGAGAAGATGAAAATGCAATATCAATTTTCTAAGAGTATCCATATTTAGGGTGTTAAGAGTACTGAAATAATCTTATGTCTGTTCTCAGGAAGGAGTGCTTTGTTAAGATCAGAATGATGAGTGACAGTCAAAAAAGCTTTCTAGAAAGTCTTTATTTTTCTGATATAATTGCTTTTTGTGGTTATCCCAAAAAAATTTTATAAATTTCATTATTTTTATATGCCTGACTGGAATCCATGAAACAAAAGTATCAGATATAATGAAATCAGATACTACAATGAATTTTTTTATATTTTCAGGAATAAAAAGTGACTGTATACTCTTAACAGGGGTGACAGTTAAAATTTTTCATGAATTTTTAATGATTTATGGTTTTCCATTTCCATGTTTTCTTTATATTCCATCAAATTAAAACTTTCCAGGAATTGTAGAACCATTTAGCATGGTAGCATTTTAAAACCATAACTAGGCAGAATGTGGCTTTTTTGAATCTAAAATGTACGCTCTTTGTATTTTATGAAACTGATATCCTAGTGTCCCATTACCATAAAGAATGATTATTATGCTTTTTTGCAAAGTAAATTTCTATATACTAATGGTAAAATTTCAGGGTTTCGTAAAAGTGGAAAAATTAAAAAAGGTAAGATGTCTTTTGCTTAAAGCTTTTACAGAATTAAATTTGTATTTAATCAAAAGGACTCTCTAGAATCCTTTTCTGGTGATAAAAGCAGGGTATTTTACTTAAAGGAAGTGGAATTACAAGATTTTGGGTTGTTTGTCACCTACTACTTCAAGTAAATACAGTGCATTGGTATGAAATACTTTTGAAATAGTTAAAAAAAATGGAACACTACAGAACCACATACTACTAGGTAGGATACTGAAATGAATGACTGGAAAAACTTTGTGTATTTTTTAAAACCTTCATTTTTGGTCAGCATGAATTTCCTTTAATTATTTTTCCATTTCCAGTAGAAATTTAATGTATCAAGTCAGTATAAAGTTTTATAATTTAGTAATCCTGAATTCCAAGTCATTCAAGATGAAAATGGAAATATAAGTTTATGTAAGAAAATCAGTTTTCTTCTGTAACGTCTAAGTCGTCTTCATCATCTTCATCATCATCTGCTTGTTGATCCTTTCTTAGTCGACAAGTGGATACCTATTAAAAGTTAACACATTAAAAAATACTTGAAAATATTTTTACATGCTTTGTATCTACTTGTATGCTGTTATAGGAAAAAACAGAACAAATATTTCAGAAAAATGTCCATATGTAACAATTTTTAGTAATGTAAAATTCCCTATGAATTATTGTATTTAAGGTTGAAAACAACCACAAAGTTTTTCATTCATCATGTGTATTTTTTTGAATAAAAATTTGAAATTAACCATTTGATTCTAGTTGAATACCAGTATTTCAAGAACATAAAAGACTTTCAGTACAAAGTATAGTTTCAGTTTATGATTAGTGTGAAAAATGGCCTAACTTAAATAACTGTCACAAAAAAAACAGGTATTTGAGAATCATCAAAGCAATGGCAAAAATAAAATATTTCAACTTGTGCAGCTGTAATACTAAACTTTAAAACTAGTATGATTTAAATGGAATGAGTTAAGAAATTTAGGCTTTAGGTTGTGATATTTATCGCTTGGCTCACCTTGCCTCCATACCTTTTTGAGGGTGAATTATAACTCCAGGGGACATTTGGCAATGCCTGAAGACAGTTTTGATTGTCACAACTGGGCATGTGTGCTAGTGACATCTTTTGGGTAGAGGCTAGACATTTGTGCAACATCTATACAACGCACAAGACAGAACAGTACTTACCCTCCTTCGTCAGGTTATCTGGCCCAAAGTCAATAGTGTTGAGGTTGAGAAACCCTGGGATAATGCCTAAAGTGCTACAAAGATGTTAACTAACTTAGGGTAACATTCTAAATAGTCAAAACTTTGTACTATGATAGTAGTTTGGGATTTATGTGTTAGGAACTTACTGCTGGAATAATAAAAATTTGGTTGAGGGGAGAGATGTATAAATACAAAGCAGTAAATAAATGGCTAGAGGATAACCAAAATAGGTGTTGGGTCAGTTTTACCTCAAAGTTGTATTTTGAAAATATTTGGCTCAAGTTTTAATTCTGATGGCTAGATGAAAGGACACACCTCTCTAGATCAGGAGGAATTGGCCTCCTGTTTATTTATTTATTTATTTGTTTGTTTGTTTTGTTTGTACATGCACTGGGTACAGTCAGAAGTGCGGAAGGGTGAGAGAATTCACCAGAGCCAGAGCAGGGAGCAGAGCAGGCAGAAGGGCCGAAGTACACTGCTGAGGGGAGCAGCGGGCGGCAGGAAAAGTCTGCGCGCCATGTGGGACCCTCCTCCAGTGGCCGGGGAGCAGCCGGGGATCGAACCGGCGTTGCAGAGGCTGCGGGCAGCTTCGTAACCCTGCGCTCAACCGCTGCGCCACCAGGGAGGCCCTGGCCTCCTGTTTTTATAAAGCTTTCTTATAACAGCCGTACTGACTTGTTAATATATTTATTACTACTCTTAGACCACAAAGCTGGTGTTTTCTCTGACTATAGGAAAAGGTTGTTGACCCCTCATTCTGCATACCAGGTAACTCAAGGCTTTTGGATGTAGAGTGAAAAAACAGGGTCATTATCTAAAGTTCTTGATTTATGAAAATATTCAGCATAAACTCGCCTTAGGTATAATTTCCAATAACTCTTAATAGTGGGATTAAACCCTAAGTAGTTTGACTTCATAATCTGTGTTCTTCATGTTATACTAGAGAATAAATATAGATTAGCATTCTTCTATCCTTTCCAACCTCTGTTCCCAAGTACTCTGCTTTAATGTGTATTATAGAAAGGTATAAAAAATTACAGATGCATCTAGTGCACCTGTCAAAGAAGGTAAGAAGAGGGTAAATTAAAGAGGTCATATGATAGAAAGAAATGAACAATTCCAAAGGAGCAGCTCATACTCCTTAGATGTTTGGTTTCTAGCTCACCTGTCCTGTTCCAGATACACACTTAGCTGACAGTGATCTCTGAAGAGGTGACTTAGAATTTGCTCTTACAATATCTAAACGAGATGAATAATCTGGTGGATACAGTGAATTTCGGAATACCTGTTGCAAGGATAAAACATCAAGTATATACTAAGCAGTCAAAAGTAGAAAGTCATGTTCAGTTCACGTCTATTAACACTCTTAAAACACACCCCATAAATAAAACTTCAGTTATAAATTTGAAACAATTAAAAGGTCTTAGTTTAAAAGAGCAAAGTTAAAATATTCTATTTGAACCATGTAAGATGAAGATGGGTCCTGAAACAATCACTTGAGAGGTTTTGCTGGGGAAATACGAAAATTCTTACCTTCAAAGGGAAAGTAGGTCAATACGGAGGCTTTAAATGATACCTTTGATTATTTCTGTTCTGCCTATCCTCAAATTTTACCAATTTAACTGCACTGAAGGACTTTTATACACTATCACATAATAAATTAGAATCACTATAATTTATGGATTCTAATCTCAGGGATCTGGAATACTATTACTTGTCAGTTCTTTTTCCTTAAAGTAGTAGTGTCAAAAATCACCAGTCATCTTTGTCTTCACTGACATTGTCCTGAAACAACATTTCCATAAATGATATTTTTAAACTCTTCATGTTCTGGGGATACTATTTATACTCACAGCTCTGTTCTGCTTTTTAACATCTTAAATATTTTTATTTTTTTTTATTATTTTTTAATCTCAGCAAAAATCCCAGAAATTTTTAATAGAAATATTTAGGCAATTCCAAAATAATATCTTAAATATTTTTAAAGGGTTTTACTTGAACCTATTTTTATAAATTTCTCTGAAAGATCTTATCACAGTGTTTAATGGTCATTCTTCAAACAGTTCTCTATACTCTTGTGATAGTCATTTATGGTCCCAACTATCTTTTGTTTTCCTAGACCTAGTGACTATATTAGATTGACCCTTACAATGTAAGGCCTCCCCATACACATAGTAGATCAAGCCAGAAGCCTGGGTATTCTCCCTAACTTTCTCACCTGATGTATGTCTATTTTAATTTACACATCTCTATTTGTAGCTTATTTAGAATTTCCTTAATAAAGATCAAAACACAATGTTTATTAAAAAAGAAAACAAAACTTTGTGGCTCCTGACTACCCAGAATCCAAATGCCTTTTTTATTTTTTATTTTTTTTAAGATTTTTTATTTATTTATAGAAGCACTGGGTACAGTCAGAAGCATGGGAGGATGAGAGAATTCACCAGAGCCAGAGCGGGGAACAGAACAGACAGACTGACGAAACACTGCTGAGGGGAGCAGCGGGCGCGGCTGGAGATGTATGTCGCGCCATGTGGGGCCGTCGCTGGCAGCCCGGGATTGAACTGGCGCTGCAGAGGTTGCGGGCAGCTTTGCAGCCCAGCGCTCAACCGCTGCACCACCAGGGGAGGCCCTCCAAATGCCTTTAGTAAATCCAAGGCTTGAGATCACCCAAATTTGGGCATCCCTGGTGGCGCAAGGGGTTAAGATGCAACCTATGAAGCTATCTGCAGCCACTGCAGCACGAGTTAGATCCCTGGCCAGGGAGCTACCCACTCACCTCTCCTGACTCGCCTGCTGCTCTCCTCAGCAGTGTATATCAGTCCATCTGCCTGTTCTGTTCCCCACTCTGTCTCTAGTGAATCCCTTCACCCCCCCCACACCTCTGGCCGGTACCCCAGTTCTTGTATGCATAAATAAATAAATCCTTAAAAAAAGATCGCCCAAATTTACCCACCACTTTTTACTTAGAATATTAATTGTGGCCTGTATACCTATATGCAAACCTTACTACACGTGGTTACTCAGCGTGGAACCACAGCAAATTTATTCATCTTTTAAGAATCAAGTCAAATGCCACCCTTGTTCTGCTTTCCCTTTTCTTCAGTCAATAGTTCCTACTGTTAATACCCTCAGTTCAGCTTTCATCTCTCTGGTTTGTAACCACACCTTTCCATAACTAGTTGTAAGTTCTTTTAGAGCTAAGAGCCCTGTTTTATCTTTGAACTCGTAGCTTAAGACAATAAGCTGTTCTAAATTCACTTTTGCCGAATGAGTAATATTACCCAAGCAAGGGAATGTCTTTACACGTTTCTTTAAGTCTTTTTTTTTTTTTTTTTTTAAAGATTTATTTATTGGGCCTCCCTGGTGGCTCAAGGGTTAAGCACCGCACTATGAAGCAGTCCACAGCCTCTGCAATATGAGTTCAATCCCCGGCTGGCCAGGGAGCAACCCACATGGTACAGCAGACCTCTCCTGTCTCGCCCGCTGCTCCCCTAAGCAGTGTATTTCAGTCAGTCTGCCTGTTCTGTTCCCCACTCTGTCTCTGGTGAGTCCTCTCACCCCCTGCATCTCTGGTCTGTACCCTAGCTCTTGTATGCATAAATAAATCAATCTTAAAAAAAAGATTTATTTATGCATACAAGAACTGGGATGTAGGCCAGAGATGCAGGGGGTGAGAGGATTCATCAGAGACAGTGGGGAGCAGAACAGGCAGATCTACTGAAATACACTGTTGAGGGGAGCAAGGGGTGAGACAGGAGAGGTCTGCTGCACCATGTGGGTTAGCTCCCTGGCTGGCTAGGGATAGAACTTGTGCTGCAGTGACTTCTGATAGCTTGATAGCCCTGTGTCTTTAACCCCTGTGCCACCAGGGAGGCCCATTTTTTAAGTCTTAAGGAATTGCAGAACAGAAAAGGAATCTGGATGAAACAATGCAAAGAATGCTACTTGTAATGAGGACAATTCAAATGTTACATTAAGAGGTTACTGAAGACCCAGTTACTTTTTCATGTGCACCACTGACATCCTGATAAGATATAAAAACTGGATGACTTATTAACTGATATTTGGAAGGGGTATTTTTGTTAGAACATTAATTTTTAAACTTTTTCTAGCAAAGATAAGATTAAAAGAGGGAAATGGAAGACAATATATAAACTTTAGGAGTCTAAACTGGTTAAAAATTACAATAGAAGAACAGCTTTAGAGAAATATTAATATGTGAGCAATAGTGTATGTTCCAATATGGTCCAAGATCTGTAGGAATGAGTCTCAGTCCTGAATAAGCTCTGAAGGAATTGAATAGAGATATTTAAAGCTGAAAATGATAAGCTTTTTATGTGAAGAACATAAAATGGTTTGCAATATACCTAGAGACCTAATTGCAAAAAGTTACCTAAATTACTTTCAACAGTTCTCATAGATTGCCGAGGAGACTATCAAGTTATTTATTTCTCTGTCCTTTCTGCATATTTTCTCTACTTGTTCCTAAGAAACCTTGTATTTAAAGGACCCTTTCTCTTGGTACCTGTTTGATATAATCTTACTCCCTTGGTTCCACAACTCTTCCCAAACGCCTCCCCTTTTCTCTTTACAATTTCTGTCTGGTCTAATAATAATAGCTCATTACCTATAGTTCATTGACATTTCTACCTCAGGATCTTTGTATATCTGTCTGTGTCCTCTGCCTGAAAATTGTTGCCAGGCATCCTCTTGCTGATCTCTCAAGCTTCTAATTAAGAAAATCATTGGTTCTCCACCCTATTTAGAATCCTATATCACATATCCACAACACACCTTATTTTTTCTTTATGGGGCTGGCTGCATTATAAAACTAGAACAATTAAATGTCTAAACATCCTGGTAGATTTTTAAAGTTTCTGCTTTTACAACTTCGGCCATTTCTAACTTAATAATGCTAAATTCTCAGTATTTAGAATGGTACCAGGCATATAATAGGTGCAAAACAGTTGTTGAATGAACATGTTATAAGTACTAAAAAATCTTTTATAGATAAGGAAACTGAAGAGTGAAGAAGTTAACTTGCTAAATGTTGCCTCATGAGAGTGTGGGGAAGTGAATACTCAACAAATGTATCACACAGCCCTGAGACCTTTAGTTTTTCGTGAAATCTTGCCTCTTAGAAACTACTTAGCTAGCTGATTAGGATTTGGTCGTAACAGTTGTGCTCTCCCCAAGAATATTAAAAAAAAAAGTGTGACAAAAAGATGTTGATGGCCTCTGGAATAAAAGGAAAACTTTGGGGACCAAAGGGCTTGAAGAAACTTTAGTATCAGTTTATTAGAAAACAGATGGCATGTCAAGGATATTAGACAATGGAGACTATTACACCTGTAAAGGGAGCTCCAGTCTTAGGGGTAAAATGCGGAATCAATTTTGAACCTGCTACTCAATGCAGTGTTGTTTCTTACAGGAAACATCATCAAGAGCCATACTTCTGGTAGTAGAGTGTTGAGAGGATGAAAATACAGCATCTATACCAGACTTTTGGGTTTGGGTCCCAGCTGTGTTACTAGCTCTGAGAACTTCTGGGAAGTTTCTTAATCTCGAGGTATCTCTGTTTTTCATCCGTAGAAATGAAGCATAGGTATTTTTATCAAGTTGATGGGAGGACAGTAGCTGACCCAAAGTAATCACTATTAAAATCATTTCTTGTTATTTTACAAATGGCAGATTAAAGATCATGTTTTTCAAAAAGTAAGACATGAAAAGGAATAAAAATTAAGAAATTTTAGAATTTTGAAAGAATGAACATGTAGGAAGCCATCCATTGGCAAACAGCATAACTGATGTAGCTGTGAAATCAGATTTTGGGATATGTACCCTTCTTCACTTTAGTTAAGCTATAATCTGGTTTTACTGAAATAAATTTCCTGGAACCAGCTGAATAGCTAAAGAGAAAGCTGAAGGCTTTCATTTTATGAATAGGTAAGTTTGTAAGAAAAATAATTGGGGAATTTTCAAACTTGTCAAATAGCAGGCACTTTTAAATTCTATCTCTTAAAATAGAGAATTCTGCTTACATCATGAGAGTATATAGCCTTTTTCAGTAAAAAAGATGACATTATTTCTAGTTAGTTAAATGAAATTAAAAAAGTTAAATAGCTTTATTTAGATTCTATTTTCCTAGCTATTAATAAATTAACTCTTGGAACTTTACCATGGTTAATGTGAAAAAGTTGAACAGAAAATCACAAAATTCCAATGTTTGGGAGTGCACATAGTTACATAGAAACCATTTCATTGCTCTAATTTAAGGTATTTTACCCACATAAACTAATGTTCTCAGAAACATTTCCATATTAACAGAACTATGCTTATACATAGGCCTACCTCTAAATCTTCTTCTTCATCAATCTTCTGTATATTTTGGAAGGCAGCAGTATAGACCTCCAAAGCTTTGCCATGAAATAACATTTCAATGGTGATAAATTCTGAAAATATAGTCTGAAAAAGAAAGATCTAAATTTAAATAATCATAATTTGCCTTGTGAAGTGAGTAATTATAACTTACTGTAATTTTGGCATTTTATGAAATACAGAAGTACCTATTTTTCTAAAGGGCAAATAAAGTACAAATGATAGCTGCTAGAATAAAAAGTTACAAAGAAATTTTGCAGCATGTCACCATTCACTTTCCTTCCCCTTTTATAATCAATTCTATTTATACCTTGTAATTGACATTTTTGATAAAAACAAGTTTGACTAAAATGTATGCCATTACGTTACCACTTGCCTGTATTAGAGCAATTCAGTTCTGAAACTGTTATTTTAGTAACTAAAACAGATATTTAAAAGAATGCTTTTTGAATCCCATTAGCTTTTTTCTGAGTATATGTTACTTGTATTCTCTAACCACAAAGGAATTACAGGGTAATAATGGTATTTCTACAGCTGATAATGGCACTTTTGCATAGAACTTTCTAGTTTATATAACTTGTCAGAGTTACTGCTAGAATGTTGACAGTTGGATCTGGATTCCTCAAAGGTTATAGCTCTTACTGAACTATGCTGTGCTTGCTGGAATCAACATTTCTCTCACAAATAAACTGTGCAGGTAGACACTAACTATGATGAAAACTTGACAAGAAGATCATGAGTAAAGAGAATGAAGATGTTTAAATGGGGGTGAGATAGTTTATAGATAGGGAAAGGATGCAAATCATACAAGTTTCCATTAAAATTGGATCTGTTTTTTTTTTTTCACCTTCTTGTCCCTTATCAAAATAAAAAAACAGAGTTATCAATGTAGAAAGAAGTGGGCAGAATAAGAACTGGGTAGTAAAAACCCAAGCATCGTTCTTAAAGGGGCAAGATGGAAAGTATGGGTTAGGTAATAAGGCAATAGTCACAGACCCTCTTCCCTTCATCCCTGTTCTGCTATAGTAACCACCCACACAGGAATGACCTGTACTGTGGTAGATAGCAGACTGATATTCATCAGGGTCCTATGATTGTTTTTCTCCCCCCATTTCCGTTCTTAAGGATTAGAAAAACATTTGAGAGTATTAAAACAGGGTTCCACCCAATGGAAACATCTGTAGTTGAAGATATCCCTTTTGTTAGGCACTTGTATCAGTCTGTACAGAGTGAGCTCTGGTATAAAAGACTTAAAACTATGACTAATAATGACCCTTCATATAGGTCACAGAGGGCTTTGGCATATTGGACTAGCAACTGACTAGCAGTAAACAGCATTATGCAGATCTAGACTAGCCAAAACAATCTTAAAAGGGAACAAAGAAGAGAACTCACACACCTTGATTTTAAAACTTATTACAAAGCAGATGCTAATCAGAACAGTGTGGTATCAGGATAAGGACAGACATGTAGAGCAATGAAAGAGAATGAGAGTCCAGAAACCATGTCACTGGTTTTCAACAGGGGTATCAAGACAATTAAATGGGGAAAGAATAGTTTCTTATACAGATGGTCCTGAAAGAACTGGATTATGATGTAACAGAATGAGGTTTAACCTTTAGCTCACACCATATGCAAAAATTAACTGGATCAGAGACTTGTATGTAACAATGAAAACTATAAAACAGGATAAAACAGGGATAAGCCTTTAATGATAATGGATTTGGTAATAGATATGACACTAAAATCATGCACAGCAAAAGAAACTATAAACTGGACCATCAAAATTAAATACTTTTAGCCTCAAGGGACACACCAAGAAAGTGAAAAGATTACCCACAGAATGGGAGAAAATAACTGCAAATCATATCTGGTAAGGTACTTGTACTAGAATATTTAAAGAATCTTACAACTGAATAATAAAGACAACCCAGTTACAATATTGGCAAAATGTCTAAATAGAAATTTCCTTAAATATATACAAATATCCAGTAAGCATCAGCAGGGAAAGGCAAATGAAAACTACAATGAGATATGACTTTACATCTACTAGGGAGGCTAGAATGAAAAAGTCTGATGAACAGTGAGGGCTGGTGAGAATGCAGAGAAACTGGGACCCTTATATACTTTTGGTGGGAATATTCAACCACTTTGGAAAACAGTCTCACAGTTTGTCAAGTGAGTAAAGATAGTTACTATATGACCTAGCAATTCAGCTAGGTATATACCTAAGAGAAATGCAAATTTATGTCCATACTAAAACTTATGTTATAAAATGTTATAAATGTTATAAATCATAAAAGTCAAAAGGTACAAATGACCCACGTATTAATCAACTGATGAATGGATAAAATGTAATATCCATGTAATTAATGGAATGTTATTGAGCCATGAAAAGAATGAAATACTGATACATGATATAATATGGATGAACTTTGGAAGCATTATGCCAAATGAAAGCTAGTTACAAAAATCATTATTTTATGATTCCATTCATATGAAATGTCCAGGATAGTCAAAACCATAGAGATTTGAAATTAATGTTGGTTGCTTTGGGCTAGGGATATGAGGATGCAGGGAGGCAAAGCTAAAGTATACTAGGTCTCACTTTGAGATAATGAAAATGTTCTAAAATTGAGTGGTGATGATTACATATAGCTGAACAAGCTAAAAACCATTGAGATGTACATTTTAAATTGGAATTTTATAGGATATGGGTTATATTCTCAATTTTTAAAAAAGGAGGTTTCTTTTTTTTTTTTTTGGTGACCATGCGAGCCTTCCCTTTTCCAGAGACAAATACAGTAGACAAAGAGAAAAGCTTGGAAACTCTCTTCTCTGTGTACTCTCCATGGCAGTCCTCTTTCCATGTCCTTTTATTTTGGGGAATTAAAGGCAGTAGGAACTGTAGTTGGAAATCTGTACTCACTCTTTTTGTCCAGTTTAGTTTTATTAATTATTGGTGTTCAGGAAATTAACAACATATATAGAAGGTTCAGCATACAGGTGAACACTGTAGTGAGTAGGCACAAAGTACCTTGTATAAAAAAATCTGGAGGCACGAGAAATTGTGGTGGAGTGAGGATTCCTATCACTAAAACCCTTCACTGGAAATGAAAGGGCTCACACCTCATGTCTCCATATTCATTTTTTAGGTTAAAGCTAATTATTTAAATAAACTTCCTTCTATTCTCCCTCAATTTTAGAGGGGATTTCAGCAACTGCCTATACTCTGCCACCTCGGTGAAGGTATTAGTCCTAGGAAGCTTCCCTAAGTAGCAGTCTACCATTACACAGCAGAGTGTAGAATGAATTAAGAGGCTTTTTAAAAAAAAAAAAAATGCATACAAGAACTGGGGTGTAGGCCAGAGGTGCAGGGTTTGTGTGTGAGAGGATTCACCAGAGAGAGTGGGGAGCAGAACAGGGAAATCTACTGAGATACATTGCTGAGGAAAGCAGGGGCTAGACAGGAGAGGTCTGCTGGGTTAGCTCCCTGGCCAGGACGAACTTATGCTGCAGTAGCTGGTGAAAGCTTGATAGCACTGTGACCTTAACCCCTGTGCCACGATGGAGGGCCTAACCCCCCTCCCATAAGAGGCTTTTAAATACTTTTTGATCTTCAGGATCACACCAGAAACCTCTGAGCCTGGTTTATCAGAAAAATCAAAGGTTTGAAATCCTTTTAAACTATGATAGGAAATTAAAAAAAAAAAGTACAAATGAATGGATTTTTGTTTTATGGATTGTGGAAAAAAATGATGTAAGTGGCAAATGCTGCTTATTTTATTGATAATATAACTTCTGAAAGCAGGATTTTTTTGGTCAATAGTTGTAAAATCACAAAAATGCTTTTTTTTTAAAGCTTACTCCAGGAAAATTTGCAGTGAGCCAAAGGCATCTTTAGATGAGTTGTTTTAAATGTTTTAAGATGGTCATAAGCAATTTTTAAAATCTTTCCAAGATGCCTATGAAAAAGTCACTGAAGACCTTGTGAGGTCCATGAGCCTGAGGTTTCAGATTTAGTAAAGTGTTACAAAAAAATAAAGGTGACACTTAGTGTGATACCACATCACAGTGGATGCAAGTTATATGTTGGCTACCATTATCCTATTTATTGATGATATACAACTATTAGAAAGCTTTATGCTATAAAGTTAATGATAGTATATTATAATGGAAAGCACAGCATTTTAAAATACAGTATTGTTTTATAGCTCAGCTTTGGGCTGTGACATTCTGGGTTAAGTTACTTTATATTTCTGCATAATTTTTATATAAAATATGGTAACATTACTTCATTCTTATGAAATTGCTATATAGTTTAAAAGATAATTTATGTCAAGGGACTGGAATAATGCAGAATACATAAAAATAATAATTGTTAGTTCCCTTTGATTAAGTATTATTAGTGTTAAAAGTAGGCTATCTGGCCTTTGTTTGGGAATGTAGCCCAAACATCATTGATTCCATAAGAAAAATAATATCATTGATTCCATAAGAAATATATACATCATTGATTCCATAAGAAAATAATGTTTTCTATATTTTCACTTGTATTTTTCACATGGGCTATTTATGGGCTAAAAAAAATCATCATAGTATTTTAAATTTTTTATAGTTAAATAAAGCAAAAATATAAAGTTAGGAAACATGTTTTGAATCGAAGAGTTACTTTATTACCTTTATATCCTTTATTTTCTGCTTTTCAAAATTGTCAATAGTTTCCTCCAGATGTCGAGTTGTTCGGGTAGCATCCATTGTAGCTCTTTGTAATTCGGTTTCTGCCTACAAAAGTGTTCCCCAACCAAAGATACAGAAAAATCAAGTTGGAATTTATTCAGCTGAGTCATCTGTAAATGCTATCATAGCACTACTGGCTTTTTGGCATAAGTGTAAATTGTTCAGTGTATTTTGCTGCATAAAATAAAAATGTTCTACATTATAAACACATGCAGCAAAAGAATTTTAAATCTATTAAGTGACATGGTCATGATCTCAAGCAAAAGAACTCTTTCCTTTCATAAAATAATTTTTTTCAATATCACCCTTGGACAATTTACTACAGAACAATATTCTATATTTCTGCTTTCACCTGTCACTATCTGTCCCATTTGTCATACTATTCTTTTTATTCACTCTTCTTACCCTTTCTCACCCCAAAAGAAAAGACTTGTAACATAAGTATTTTCATAAATATTTTTAATTTTCTAGTTCTCCCAGTGTATTAAATGTTTCTAACACTGTAATATCCTCATCAGATAGCTAGAATAAATTACAAATATTTATTTTAATATGGGATTTCTATTTGAATGTTCTTATAAGCTAATAATTACTATAATATATATATTATAGCTTATAATTACTTATAAGTTATATTATTAGCTTGTAATATAAGTAATTATATAATAGTAACAATGTTACTGTTTAATTAATACCTATTACAAAATATGTATCTCAGAAACTAATAAATTAGATGGCAAGTCTAATGCTTTGCTTAACACATGCTAATGACAAGTATTGATGCTATCTAGGTCAATGTTATATGATCTGTTTGGTGGCCACTAGGCACATGTGGCTACTGAAATTTAAATCAATTAAAATTACATGAAAATTTTAAAAACTTGTTACTCATTTATTCTAGTTACAGTTCAAGAGTTCAAAAACCATATATAATGGCCACAGTAAGATATAGAACAATTCCAATCTAATCATGTATTTCTGTTAAAAAAAGCATCTCTTCTTTAGAACAATAGTTACTCCAAAATATTTAATTTTTTTGTTAAGCAGTTAGCATAGAGATTAAAAAAGACATATTCCAATTTTCTGGTTAAATTCTTTCTAATAAAGTTTTGTTTACTTTGCTAGTAGTGTATCACATATTATCATTTAAGAGTTAATTCATAGAAAAAAGCTTATACTTGTCATCAAAGTTTTGCAACATATAATATTCTGACATTTGGTTTCTTTCCCAAGAAAATGTTTAAAATGAAATAAGTAAAAGGGTTTACTACAAGGGTCCATCTCTTGACACACCACTTTATTACCCACCTGTGACTGAAATTTTTCATAAAGGAAAAAATACATTTCAAAGAACAATTTTTAAAAATAAATTTAAATCATATACCCTTACAAAATTCTATGTTCTGCAATTAGATCATTACAACTTTGTATTAATTGTACAGTCTTAAAATTAGGTTAATTCAAATACACAATTTCAACATACTAAGCATTAAAAAATATATTCATACCTCAAAGATTTCAAAGTGTGTGTTTGTGTGTGTATACATTTGTCATGTAGGGTATAAAATTTTTAAAAACCATATAAACTTGACTTTTAGTCATAATCAGTAATCAAAAACAATTTATTATTGGGCTTGGGATTTTTAACAATATAAACTTACCATGGGAAAATCAAAATGAAAGTGATTTCCTTTGAAAATCAATATGAAAAATTTCTAAGTTACTTGATGCATGTCAAACTTTTACTAATGAGAATACTCAAGCAGAGTAATTTCCCAATACTGTTTATTACATGGACTGATGTAATTCTTTCAGCTACTTTTGGCTTACATATTTCCCCTCCATTTGAGAATTCTGTTAAAATTTTTACAGGTTGTTAAGAGTTGGCTAAACTAGAAAAGTGTGGAAGCAGAACTCGTGGCTGAGATATCCGTATCTTAATATTTCACCATCTAGCAACTTCTTAAAGTCAACATTTCTTAGTCTCAAATTCTTTTACTTCAGCATTGCAACTTGCCTACACACAGCTATTTTTAGCAAAGAGGATATAGATTTCTATTATTGAAAATTCTTCAAAAATCCTATAATGTACCAATTTGAGTAGGAAACACTTTTGATTAAAATATACTATATGACTCTAAGGATGTAAATATATTTAATGGAATAAGTTATGAGTGAACAATGGTTTTAAATAGGATGAGTTAGGTTAGTGTTTTTCAAATTTTGTTACAGGGGTTTTGGGGGCTGGGCAGGCAGTCTGGGAACAATTTACCCCATCCTCTTCTATCAGAGCTACTTCATTTTATTTTACACATTGACTTTAATGTGCTTCTTTTTAATAGATGAATTCTAAGGGTTTATCTAGGTAAACATTATATGATGCTATGATTGCATATTTTTATATTTGTATTGAATACATTATATGTGTATTTACACTGTCTTTTATTTTCTTGTCTCAGATTGTCAAAATCAACTGGAGTCACAGATCTTTCCCAATGAATGACTCAAACAATTCACTGATAGTAATAATCTATTCAGTTGTTATTTATTTCCCCCCATATGAATACACAGACATGATTCTAGGTATAAGACTACCTCCTCCACAGTAGTTTTTATAGTAGAGCATCTAAGACAGCCAGATTCTTTGCCTTACAAGCAGATTTATTTCTGTATTGACTGTCCATCCCAATACCCTTTATTCAGTCTTGCCAATTGCTCAAGATTCTACATTTAGATTTTAGGTTTCATCCTTCAGGTACTCTCCTCCAAACAAAACGACAACATACTAACCTCTGGCTTAATTCTTAAATCTGTGACACTCCCTGGCCACACCTTATTCTCTAGTTGTCAGTTATGAATTTTCTAGTATTCCTTGGTGTGTCTGATTTGCTTATAGAGTATGTCCATACTCTGTAATCTCCAGTTTGCAGATGTTAAGTCTCAACTGCATTCTAGATGTTCCTATCCCAGCCTTCAATGGGCAGCCCCAGCCCTTTGGCTGCCCACTTTTATTACAAGGTTGGGCTTATGTACCTTTGGTACAAAGGAAGGAGGACCAGGCAATTGTCATAGAACCAATTCGCTACCCTCAGGAATGGAGGTGTTCTGGAATCTCTAACGCCCCCAAAGAATCACTCCTCAAATGGTTTCTGGCTGAGCTGGGCAGTAAAAACCTTAAGGAAGCAGGAAGGAGACATAGAAGAAAGAATAGGAAAAAGGCAGTGGGAAAAATTAGTACTTTCTATACAATTGTACCTCTCCCAGTGCTGGCAAGTAGGTATTATTTTCTATTCCATTTTGTCATAAACAAAGCACATTCTAAGTTAAGAAATAGTCATTCTTAACAGAAGAACCTTGTAATAGTAGATACTCCTTAATCTAGATTTGTTTCTAGCTGTGGAATCTCAATTATACACCTTCCTTTCTCAAAAGTAGGGCAGAGAGAGTACTGATATATTAAGATTAAAGATAGATCTTTATACATTCATCTTATAATTAGTCATGTGGGAAAAAGCTCCAAATTTTGAATTTGGATGCTCTATAAAGCATCTACATTTATAAGTGCTTTATTTTTTGAACATCTATTATGAAAAACAAGAAAGGGGATTGAATTAAGTGGTATATTTTCTTTAAAATGAGCTTTTTATTTATTTATGCATACAAAAACTGGGGTGTAGGTCAGAGATGCAGGGGGGGGGAGAGGATTCACCAGAAACAGAGTGGGGAGCAGAACGGCAGATCCACTGAAATACACTGCTGAGGGGAGCAGTGGGTAAGACAGGAGAGATCTGCTGAGCCATGTGGGTCAGCTCCCTGGCTGGATGTCGAACAGAACTCATGCCTCAGTGACTGGGGATAGCTTGATAGCACTGAAACTTTAACCCCTGCACTACCAGGGAGGTTCTAAAATGAGCTAATTTCTGTAGTGAGAATTTCTAAATGCATGTATTTCAGTTAATCTTTATATTCCAATCTCTGCCCATTTAAGAGTAGAAATGTAAAATTTCAGTATGTATTTACTTGTGTATGCATACCTTACAAAACATTTTTTTAAAGACCCAAATTCAAAGGATACAATAACATGCCGATCAGATGGATTGCGCTGGCGTGTTCTTTCTAATTGAGTTAACTGCTTAGCTTCTCGATTCCTTGCTGTTAATGTTGCTTTGAGGTCATCCTGCAAATAAGCATTTTTTGGTTAATAAAAATCTTTGATATAAGAAATGAAATCCACACATTGTGTTTTAAAAATAGGATAATCCTCTTTGTTTTATGCAGGTACCATCCCCATAGTAATCATTACTGTTACATAACCAGTGTGTGTGTCTTTGTGGGTGAGAGTGTATACATGTGTGTTATCCTCTCAAAATAGTAACACAGACAAGATTTCAGTGCAAACTTATAACTATATAGACTATTATATGTATTTATGTAACATTTGGATGGTTATGGCCATTACATGTGTATATGTGTTTGTTAAAATGCAAGGAACATTTAAAAGGGGAGAATTTTACTGCATATAAAAAATACCTCAGTAACTTAAAAAATACAAAGTTTGCTACACTCATTTTTAGCCTGCATGTTATTGTCAACTTTAAAATAGAAATGCAAACATTCGTTTAGAAAAATAATTTGTCTATATATTACTCATGACTGCAAACACAAATATTTTAGAGCTTTCACAATAATGCTTCATGTTGCTACATAGTACATTTAGTAAGTTCATTTAAAATATTCCATTAAAGGATTAAAGAACTAGACATAAGACCTGAAACCATAAAATACATAGAAGGAAATACAGGCGAAACACTACGTGATACGCACATCAAAGACATCTTTACAGACACATCACCCAAAGCAGTGATAGTGAAGGCAAAGATAAACAGCTGGGACTACATCAAATTAAAGAGCTTCTGCACAGCAAAAGAGACAATAACAAAAACAAAGAGAAACCCCACAACTGGGAGAACATTTTTGCACACAACACTAATGATAAAGGACTGATCACAAAAATCTGCAAAGAGCTGATGAGACTCAACAACAACAAAGAAAACAGTCCAGTCAAAAAATGGGCAGAAGAGCTAAAAAGAAACTTCTCGGAAGAGGAAATGCAAATGGCCAACAGGCATATGAAAAAATGTTCAAATTCACTTGTAATCAGGGAAATGCAAATCAAAACTACCATGAGATACCATCTTACACTAGTGAGAATGGCACATATTAAAAAAACTAGCAACAACAAATGTTGGCGAGGGTGTGGAGAAAAAGGAACTCTCCTGCACTGTTGGTGGGAGTGCAAATTGGTCCAACCACTATGGAGAGCTGTGTGGAGATTTCTGGACCTACTAAACATAGAGCTTCCATATGATCCAGCAATTCCACTCCTAGGTATTTACCCAAAGGACACAGAAACATCAATTCCAAAGAGCACCTGCACCCCTATGTTTATAGCAGCACTGTTTACAATAGCTAAGCTTTGGAAACAACCCAAATGCCCAAAAATAGATGACTGGATCAAGAAGATGTGGTACATATATACCATGGAATATTACTCAGCATTCAAAAAAGATAAACACATGCAATTTGCAGCAACATGGATGGCGCTGTAAGGGATCATGCTCAGTGAAATAAGCCAGAAAGAAAAAGAAAAATACCGGATGGTCTCACTCATAGCAGGAATCTAGAAAACTTAAATAAGGGACCAGGAAAATGAATAACTATAAGAAAGTGAAAATCAAAATCAACAAGCAACTATGAACCAGAGACACTCTATGGGGGGTGGGGGGCGGGGAGGGGAGGGATTGGGGTCAAAATAAGGGGGTTGCAATTGTATGGGGAATATAAAAATAAAATTTATTAAAAAAAATTCCATTAAATTCTAAGAAATGATGCTCCAGAGTGTGCAGAAAGAATGATTCAACACTATTTTGTGTATTTTATTAAAAAATATTTACTGGAGGGCCTCCCCGGTGGCGCAGCGGTTGAGCGCTGGTTTGCGAACCTGCCCGCAGCCTCTGCGGCACCGGTTTGATCCCCGGCTGCTCCCCGGCCACCAGAGGAGGGTCCCACATGGCGCGCAGACCTCTCCTGCGGCCCGCTGCTCCCCTCAGCAGTGTACTTCGGTCCTTCTGCCTGCTCTGCTCCCTGCTCTGGCTCTGGTGAATTCTCTCACCCTCCTGCGCTTCTGACTGTACCCAGTGCATGTATAAACAAAACAAGCAAATAAATAAATACATAAATAAATAAACATGCCTCTATAAAATTAAAAAAAAAAATATTTACTGGAAACCTCATACTCTTTGCCAGAATATTTGCTAATAGTAGAAAAAAATGAATTTACTTACTCGTTTCATTTTTACAATGCTTCCATAAGCTTTCAAAGGTTCAACTACTTTGGCTTCAAGTCTTTCAACCTATTAAAAATTATTATAAAATATAACTGAAAAGAAATGTAAACATCAAAATTCAAATTCTGAAATAAAACCCGTGTTATAACAAGAACATAATTACTACACAGATTTTTTTTACAAATTTTGATTAAAATGTTACAGTTTAACTTGACTTTATAAATAATTACCAGAAGTGCGTAAGATTCTGAACTAAACTCACATTAAAAACCATTAAAATATACAGTAAACACACATGCAGAAAAACACCTAGTATTCAATATGACAAGAAATGTCTCAGGTTACCAAGGAGTTTATTCTTGCTACACCATTATCCCTGAATTATTACTTTTCTACCTTAAAGTAGTAGCTCTTAAGTAAGTTTTGAAGACATCTCAGATTTTAATACAGCTACCACTTTCAGTGTGTACCATGGTGTTGACTACTATACACACATTATCTTTGAAATGTAACAGTCCAACTTACCAGATAAGAACATCAAAGCTGAAAGATAAAATGTATTGTAAATATTTAGAGCAACACAATCCTTGAAAGCAACAAAGCTAAGAGAGACCACTGTATTCACTACATATTTTTCCTGGGAAGTCATTTGTAAATTATCAAAGTTAGAGATCATGATAAATGGTCTCAGTGTTGCTGAGTTGTCAAACTATGGCTGATCTCTCTTTAATTTTAGAACTAAACAGTTTTTCTTACACATTACAATTTTTATCACATTTTGAGTAATGGCTTCTTTTACTAATAGTACTAGAAGAAGGCATTGAAGAAACATAATAAAGGTTAAGTATATAACTATAACATAAGAAAAATAACTCTTGGATATTAAAATTTTCTTTTTTAGAATAGGTAATACAGGATGATCTATATTTAATAAATGATCATATATTATTTTTGTAGCAGGAAATCCTTTTTTAATACATGCATATCTAATTAATGAATATATTTTAATTTCATATTGATTTTTCTTTAGTTTCTATAAGCAAAACGTATATGAATATTTCATTTTGAAAGATTTTAGGAAAATGAAGAAAATTAACCTCTCATTGAGCATTTAAATATTAGGAAGCTTAAAATCAAAACGATGACTATTCAGGATAGTTTATACCATTTCTAATAATCCATACACTGACTTATCAGTGTATGGATTATTCATCCTTTTTCTGTTCTCCTTTTTGTTGCCTACCTTTTGTTCATTGTTCATTAGCACCTCCACCATTTGGTAAGCAAGGGAAATAAAAAGGAGAACAAATGTAAATCAATTCACTTTGCTATTTGATAATGGCATCAAAGTTTTCTAGAAAGAGGCATTGGAATTATTGCCGAACATGGGGTTTTAGGATTATCTCTAGGTATAAATTATTTTCGAAACGTTAAGTCTCCAGTTATGTATAACTGAGAGTTGCTTATTCATTACAGAAGAATTGTCAATTGATAAGAATTCAACATTTTCCCAAAAAGTATCCCCAAATGAAATTACTCCTTAATTTTCTATATGAATAGCAATTACATATTCAAAGATCTTCATCCTCTCTATTTGATAATTGAAATCTCTCTTTTAGGCTTTAAAAAAGGACCCAAAACACTGATGAGTAAAATACTAAAAAAAGCAATGCAGCTCTAACAGGGCAACTTGTGACACCTTAACCTGTTTCTGAAACCTAATATAAATAAATATAAGAATATAGGGAAAGTGCTTATGAGGTGTTAAAGGAACAAGGGGGCTTTTAGATAAAAACAATTACAACAGAACCTTGCTTCTTTCCCCAGCAGCAAAACAAAAACAAAAACCAAAGCAAAAACCTCCGCAAATTCTCAGTACTGGTTTGCATCCACGATAGAAATCAGAGCTTCTTTTTCAGGTCACCTTTCCAGAGCAAAGACCTCTTGTCCATTTATTACTAGTTCACCCACAGTACAGTTCCCAACATCTTCCATTTCCAGACATAACGTTAAAGCATACTTACCTGCACACAAGACACAAATCATGCTTCTTTTCTTCCCTATGGGTACTGTGTACCACCCCTCTAAGTAGCTACCCTTGGCCAAAAGTTGGCAAGTGGGGAAATTCAAGACTTCAAGACACCCTAATGTTTAGCGTGAAAAATGGTAAAATCGCTGAAAGCTGCCCTTTAATAGACTCACACAATGTTACAGACATGAAAATGTGTGTTGGCCACTGAAGTTGGGCAGATTACACGTGAAAAGTCTTCAGGGGTGCTTCATCCACAACTTCAGGGCTCATTCTTAACAATGACGCCGAGACCTCAGGCCATACCTCTGCCTGTCGATAATCCTGAAGTTTGGCAAACTCGTCCGCAAAGTTTTTCAGTCCCTGCTTTAAATGTGGGGTCTCTGTAGAGGCATACATGTTGATTTCATTCACCAGGAGGTCTGCTTTGTCTCGCAGTCTGGCAGTTTTCCGCACGTAGGCAGCAAAGATTTGGCACAGCTCTCCGAAATGCTTCTCCACGTTGGTGACAGCATCTTGCAGTTGTCTGGTCTGAGCGTCCCTGGAGGAAAAAGTGACACAAACATCAATTCTTATTAGAGACGAGATGGCTTCCTCTTCACGTCCCTCTGACAGGCAAACATTGCCGGGTCATTCTGCAGCTCCCAAGGCAAACGCCGCCTACGATCTCACCGGCTCCCGTCCCCTTGGCCCTCCCGCCGGGCCTGGCCTCGCCTCTGGGCAGGGGCGCGCAGAGAGGCCGACCCGGCCCGCCCGCCGCTGAGCGGGCGGCGGCGGCCCCGCTGCACCCCCGGGCACCGGCCCGCCCGGCGGAATCCGCACCGCCCGGAACCGCGCTGGGGCCGAAGCCCGGGGCGCACGGGAGCGGCGTCCCCCCGGCCCGGGGCGCCCCCCGACCCGGCGGCGCGCTGCAGCCCGGGGAGCCAGGCCCTGGCGCGCAGGGGGCCCGGCCAGCGCCGACCCGAGGGAGACACCGGGCGCGCAGGCCCCGCGGAGAGAGGCGCCACTTCCCCGCCCGGGTCCTCGCGCGGGGGCGTCGGGCAGGTAGGGCCCCGGGGCTGTTACCGGCTTTCCAAGCTGCGCCTCAGCATCTTGCCCCGCGGAGGCCGGGGGACCCGGGGCTGGGGCCCAACGACTGGGGCTCCGCGGCGCCGGGCTCGAGCTGCGGCCCGAGCCGCCGCCGGCAGCCAGAGAGCCCGCCCCGTGCGCCGCCGCCGCGCCGGCCCCGCGTTTCCACGGCAACGCGGCGCGCGCCCCCGCGGTCAGCGCGGGTGGCGGCGGGAGCGCGGCGGGGGCGCGGGAAGGCCCCAGCCTCGCGGGGAAGCCCCGGGCGGGCGGCGCCCCCTGCGCGGGGTCCTGCGCGCCCCGCAGTCTGGATCCTCGCGATGGCGGGTGCCGGCTCCTGGGCCGCCCTTGCGTCCTCCTGCAGCCCGGCGCCCGCCAAACACCCGCCTCCGGCTTCTCCAGGCTGGGCTGCGAGCACAGGAGGTAAAAAGTCCATCAACCAGGCACTGGGACGGGACCAGAAAGCTTAAGGTCACTGGGGAACCAGTCTCTACTTATGTGACATCTAGTCTCAGAACTTGGCAGCTTCTCTGTGGAATCTGAAAATGTGGGTACTGGGAAATTGCTTTTGGAGGAGCAGTGCTTACTTTGTTACCCTTAACTTTTCATTTATTCAGCAAATATTTGGTTACACCATCCCCCTCCTCCCTTTTATTTTGCGGAAAAAATTGTGTTAGATGCTGGGATACAAGATAAGGATGCATCCTTCTTGCTCCCACCCCACACCAAAGGACTTAAGAGTTTGATCAGGAGAGACACAAACCCTAACAGTACCCCGAGAGAAGCCAGAGGCACCCATATCCTTTCGCTCCTCTTCCCTTGGTTTAGGAGGCTCTCTATGACCCTTGACAACTCCCATGTTTCCCCTCTTTCAGAGGGCTGGCGATAGGACCCCCTTTTCTGTAGTAGACTCTGTTGATTCTGTGCCATCTCTCGTAGTCTAGACTTTGTGCTCTTGGAGGCAGAGGTAGTGTACGTAGCGTTTAGGTGGTGGTTGCTATTTGTATGGAGGCATCAAAAGTTTATTTTGGACAAATGGATGTCCATGGGCCTTGGTTAGCTCTCTTACTGTCTCCTGTTACAATGCATACCTCTCATCTTCCTTCACATTCATTTGGCAAGTTACCTGTTGAATGCCTGTGTGTTCTGGGCATGTTGGGCACTCAGCGGCAAGTGATAACCTAAAATCAGCAGTCTTAGCTCTTGTAGAGCTCACTCTCTTGTGGCAACCATAGACAGTGAGCAAAGGGACACACTTAACAGTGCCAACGAGGTACTGGCTATGTATCAGCTTTTGCTGTGTAATGAACACTAGGAAATATAGTGGCCTATGACAATTCTTTAGCTAATTCAGGCTTCTGTGAGTAGGCTGGATGGTTCTTCTGTTTTGGGTTGCTAAGCTGGACTCTCATACCTTTCTGGTCAGCTGCTGGGTGTGCTGGTAGCTGGGTGATCTCACATCACCTCAGTCTTAAGTCTGGAGTGGGACAGCTACCAGCAGGGCCAAGTACTTGTGCAACATATTTTTCTTTCTCCAACAGGCCAGCCTGCCTCTTTTGCATGGTTACAGGATTCCCAAACAGCAAGGCAGGATGTGTCCTACTTCACAAGAGCCTTTAGAATCTCTGCCTGTGTCGCATTTGCTGCTATCCTGTTGGTTAAAGCAAGTCCTATGGCCTAGCCCAAAGTCAGAGTGGGAGGGCATTCAATTTATTATGGGTAGGGGTGGTTGGTAGAGGGACGGATGAATTAGTGGCCACTTTTGCAATGCAGCACAGGTACTAAGGACCCTGAATCATTCGTTTTCCTCAAACAAAGCTTTTTATTGGCAAGTGGTGCCATCTTGGAGAAGGGCAGTTAGTACTTAAAAAAATCATCTCCCCAAGGAGAGTGAAAGAAGATTATAAAGGAAAGAAAGAAATGAGGAGATATGTGCAGTGTGGGGTGTGGAGGAGGGAGGGTTCTTCAGTTTCAGGTATAGGAGGGTGCTGGGTCCTCCAGGGATAGTCTCACATAATTACTGATGGCATTTCTGAAATAGTTGCCCTTTTCTGCATCATCAATTTAAAATAACCCATGGGTGTTCATCAGACACTCATGTTATTAGCATCCTCAGAAGGAACAGAAATATTTCATTAAGCACTGAACAGCCCATTACTATGGCCCTGAGGAATGTGATTCCTAAGACAGGGATCAGGTCATGGTCCTTCACTCAGGCCCCAGAGTGCAGAATCTCTGGGAATTATCGTTCCAGTGGAATGAAGGGTCCCATGGAGGCAAAGAATTACATTAGCATCATTCACTTATTTATTCAGCACCACTTACTGAGAACTTGTGTTGTGCTGGATTTACTATTCTTCAATTCAAGAACACAGCTGGATCAGTTTTCAGACTTTTTTTCTAGTCTGATTTCTTTGGTACTTTAGAGAAAATGATGTCATGAAAATTAGACTATTTTATTTAAATTACATTATTATTTTACTAACCTAAGCTTCTGCTCTCCTCCCCACATTTCCTATTTAAGAAATGAAAGGAAAAATGTAAAGTGACCAACTATATATGTATTTTTGGCATAAACAGCAGGTTCATGCCTAAGCAATAAAACTTCAAATGCAGCTGCTCTGTGTTAGGTAGTTTGTCAGTTGTTTTAATGCTGACAGAAATTAAAACTTCTCTCAGGAAATAGATGTAGTTTTTTTGTTTCTATTTTCTTGTTCCTTAAGTATTCAATATTTTGCTGAAGTTATAGTGACTCCCTCTGGTGGTGAATTTAACCCTGAAAATTTGTTAGGTCAAGCACTGAATCCAAGGAGATAGAATAAAACTGCACGAGACTCATATAGAAATCACCTATAACTGGTTTTATTCTTGGTGTGTTAGGGAGGGTGTATCATTAAGTGAAAGTACATGCGCTTTGATGGGCTCTGAGATTTCACCCTTGGATTTAAGCATAGACTCCATCTCTCAAGCATTAACGTGTATCAGTAAGTCTTACCTCGAGGGCATATTAAAACACAGCATTCTAGACTCCAGCCCCAGAGTTTCTGATTCTGGTGGTCTGGAGTGAGAACCAAGCATATGCTAATGTAACACTTTCTCAGATAAATACCTGTGCTGCTGGTGTAGGAACCACACTTTGAGAAGCATACTTTGAGATACATAGAGTGATGAAACTAAGCCTTTCTTTCCTCAAAGTTTAGCCATTGGGTGATTTGAGGATCAGTAGTGCATTGTGTGGTATCTGACATAGTAAGCACTTTATGGAGGTTAGCTCCTATTAATATCATAGAGTCATATCATTAATATCATAAGACTAATGGTGGTGACTAATGAAGGCATGAAGACTAAAGGTGGTGTCCTGAATGGGACAACCCATAATCATGCCTAATAATGTTGAACCTCTTTTCATGCTCTTATCAGTCGTTTGTATATCTTCGTTGGAGAAGTATACATTTAGATATTTACCCATTCATAAAATGGGTTATTTGTTTTTTTATTTCTGACTTACAAGAGTTCTTCACGTATTTAGATAAAAGTTCTTTATCAGATATATGATTTGCCAATATTTTCTCCCATTCTATAAATTGTCTTTTCCATTTCTTTTTGGTGAATGGCACATATTAAAAAAATTAGCAACAACAAATGTTGGCAAGGGTATGGAGAAAAAGGAACTCTTCTGCACTGTTGGTGGGAGTGCAAACTGGTCCAACCACTATGGAGAACTGTGTGGAGATTTCTGGACCTACTAAACATAGAGTTTCCATAGGATCCAGCAATTCCACTCCTAGGTATTTACCCAAAGGACACAGAAACATCAATTCCAAAGAGCACCTGCACCCCTATGTTTATAGCAGCACTGTTTACAATAGCTAAGCTTTGGAAACAACCCAAATGCCCAAAAATAGATGACTGGATCAAGAAGATGTGGTACATATATACCATGGAATATTACTCAGCATTCAAAAAAGATAAACACATGCAATTTGCAGCAACATGGATGGCGCTGGAAGGGATCATGCTCAGCGAAATAAGCCAGAAAGAAAAAGAAAAATACCGGATGGTCTCACTCATAGCAGGAATCTAGAAAACTTAAATAAGGGACCAGGAAAATGAATAACTATAAGAAAGTGAAAATCAAAATCAACAAAAAACTATGAACCAGAGACACTCTATGGGGGGTAGAGGGCGGGAGGGGAGGGATTGGGGTCAAAATAAGGGGGTTGCAATTGTATGGGGAATATAAAAATAAAATTTATTATTAAAAAAATAAAACTTAAAAAAATAGATATTTACCCATTCATAAAATGGGTTATTTGTTTTTTTATTTCTGACTTACAAGAGTTCTTCACGTATTTAGATAAAAGTTCTTTATCAGATATATGATTTGCAAATATTTTCTCCCATTCTATAAATTGTCTTTTCCATTTCTTTTTGGTATCTTTTGAAGCACAAAGGTATTAATTTTGAGGAAGTCCAGTTTATATGATTTTTGTTGTTGCTTGTGCTTTTTGTGTTGTGTCAGAGAAGGTTTTGCCTAACCTAAGGTCATGAAGAATCACTCCTATATTGTCTCCTAAGAGTTTTATAGTTCGTACATTTACATTTGTGTGTATGGGCCACTTTGAGTAAATTTTTGTCTACATTGTGAAGAAGGGGCCCAGTTTCATTCTTTTGCATGTGGATATTCAGTTTTCCCTTTCATTGAAGAGATCATTTCCTTCCCCCCGCCCCCCCCCCATTGAATTGTCTTGGAGCCCTTTTTGAAAATCAATTTACCATTAATAAAGGGGTTTATTTCTGGGTCTCAATTCTCTTCCATTGATGTATTTGTTGATATTTCTGCTAGTACTGTATGTCTGATTACTGTAATTTTTGTAGTAAGTTTTAAAATTGGGGAAAACAGGATATTTTTTAAGACATTGTTTTAAATTAAAATGTTTAATTTTATTGCATTTAATCAGAGAAAAAGAAAATACAGTAAAACATAAGGGTGTCTTGAAGTTTAGGAAACAAGTTTCTTGGCCCACAAGATGTTAGTTCCTAAAGATTGCTCTAAAAAATTAAAGGAGATTAAAAAAGGGGATGATAACAGAAGTTA